CCCCCCGTGCACTGCAAGGGTTAAGTGCTTATTTTTGCCTAGGGTCAAAAATAAAAGAGTTATACTGACCCGATTCTCTGAGCCGGCTTGCTCTTAGGCCATCCTTGAAGCCTCTCTCCCCCTTTGCTGCAGTGGTCTAAGGAACCCTGAGTCATCACGCTCTATACACTGTGTATAGGATGTGAGGACACTGAGGGACATACCATCGCTTAAAGTGGTTAGAGATACCACTTTATTTTGTAATTCCAATGGAGAAAGTGGTGTCACACCCAGCCGCCTCTGCTACCTGGCAGTGGTGTATGAATCATAAAATTGCTAAGCATTATTTAAAACCGTTTGACAAATAACACAAATCATATATATGGTTTTCAACTATTTATTTTACTGTTTATATGTATAAAATGTGCGCTGCGCTAATATAGAATACAAACTATTAACAATTATCGATTGCATATACAACCACAATCGTGTAGATCAAACAAAAATTGTGTTCAGTTTCAATTCAGTATCATATGTGCTCAGTTTCCCTCATTTCAAATATATTGGTGATTTAAAAACCATTTTAAATAACAAGTGAAGATACTATATGTGATCCAATGAATTCATCACCCCAAAGTTCATAATGTGCTCACATGTCCATCATACAGACAAGAGTGTCCATTTAAAAAAGTTTTAATCCAACAAAGCAAGTGTAATATACAGGCAGTCCCCGGGTTACGAGCAAGATAGGGACTGTAGATTTGTTCTTAAGTTGAATTTGTATGTAAGTTGGAGCAGGTACATTGTCCGACTGGGCTAGTGTCATTAGCGGTGTGCCTCAGGGTTCTGTGCTGGGACACAAGCTTTTCAACCTGTTTTATTAACGACATCGGGGATGGAGTAAACAGCGATATCTCAGTGTTTGCGGACGATACCAAAATTGGGAGGGTAATAGAAACAGACCGAGATAGTGTAACATTGCAGGAGGACCCGGATAAAATAGGGGAGTGGGCATTAATGTGGCAGATGAGGTCTAATGTCGATAAATGCAAAGTTATGCACTTTGGGATTAAAAATAGGCAAATGGGTTATACAATTATGGGTATGCCGCTGGGGAAGTCAGAAATGGAGAAGGATTTGGGGGTCATTGTAGACCATAAACTGAATAATAGATTACAGTGCCAGGTTGCGGTAAGCAAAGCTAGTAGAGTCCTGTCCTGCATCAAGAAGGGAATGTTTTGCAGGGATAAGTCTATAATTTTGCCACTTTACACATCAATGATTCGGCCTCACCTGGAGTATGCGGTGCAGTTTTGGGCACCGGTACACAGAAAGGATGTCCTTGAGCTGGAGAAAGTCCAGCGGAGGGCAACCAAACTCATCAAGGGGATGGAGGACCAGAACTATGAGACATGGCTACTGAATTTAAATATGTTTACGCTGGAAGTAAGGAGATTAAGGGGGGACATGATTTTCATGTACAAAATGTTCAATAGTCATAGCAACATTAGCAACAAACTCTTTAAGATTAATTCCGTAACAAAGACTAGAGGCCACCACCTGAAACTGGTAGAAAAAATATTCAAACACAAGGGGCGAAGGGGGTTCTTCTCAGTTCGAGCGGTTAGGGTCTGGAACTCGCTGCCTCACGCAGTGATTTCCGCAAATAGTCTGGAATCATTCGAGAAGCTTTTGGACGATTTCCTGAGAGACCGAAATGAACAAGTGTACAGGTACTCTTAAGAATGATTAATTAAGAATGAGAACACTCAGGGATCTATACACACACAATAGGTTGGACTTGATGGACTTATGTCTTTATTCAACCTCAAATACTATGTAACTATGTAACTCCAGCCCACATTTTTTTTTCTTTTAGTTTTTGGATAGCATAGGGAAGGGTTTAACCCCTTTTAAAGTTTGTGTTGCTGTGTGTGCCCCTGTTCAAAAGTTTTTAGCTCACTTTCTGTCCCTGCGACAATTGGATTTAGAAAATTTTGTGTTGTCGTGGAAACAAGGATTGGTGATAAAGCTTCAGTGGAGACACCTTTTTCCCCATGATAACTCTTACAGGAGTGAATTTCCCTTCCTAGGGGTAGGTTTCCTTTCACTTCCGGTTGTCTCAAGGACAGGAAGTGAGATCAAATCTTTCTAATGAGGATACAGACAGCAGTAAAAACCTCACAGTGACCCGGAAGAAGAGTCAGGGACCCGTCTGCACGTCTAACAAGAGCCAACTTCCTGTAATGTACATAAAGTACTATGACCCAGACCCAAAAAGGTGGGCACTCCTTGTGAGCACGAGCGCGGTAGCATTACAACTACCCCTGCTGTACAGTAATAGCCTCCGTTTGTAAGTAGGAGTTATAAGTAAGTCGGATATATGTAACTCGGGGACTGCCTGTATATCCAATAATGCAAGCTCCGCTGTGTTCCCCCACAGTGCTCTCCCACACTTCGCGCACTCACCGGACTAATATGACCGCCCAGGATCATACACACCGTCTCTGCTCTGTATTGCTCAGAGCAGAGTCGGTATCCACCTTCCACTCAGATCTCTCCCCTGTCAGCTCTCCTCTGTTCGTCTGCCCGACATCCACGGCTCAAATCATCATATTCCACATACCCTCATCCCCATAAAAAATAAACAGTCGCTTATAGTGCAGTAAGTTAAAACTCCAAATTTATTTAAACAATTAGAAATTCTCACATAAAAGCTGTAAAAATGGCGGCATAGAAATTCATATAAATGACTCGCTTCCATCTCGTCTGTGCGTGATGTCAGCAAAACCCAACTAACACTTTTCCTCACCTGGGACTTTCTCAGGCCTTGTTCACACCAAATGCAGAGCAGATACGGTCAGGTTTCTGCACACGCACACTAGTCTTTTAGACGCGTTTTTGATGCGTTCCGGGCTCTTTTTGGTAAAAAAAACAAAAAATATTAAATTTAAAATGGGCTTTCAGTGTGTTCCAGGCATTGGCATGCGTTTTTGATGCGTTCCAGAGCAGGTAAAATAGGGCCTGCTGCAGTTTTTTCACCTGCTCTGGATCTGCTCTGCAACTGCACGCTGCTATGTGAACTGGAGCAAAAAATACCATTGGATTACATTGGACGCAGTTTTGATCCGGTCTGCACCTGCTCTGCTCTGGATCTGCTCCTCGCTTGGTGTGAACAAGCCCTAAAGGACGGCGGCTTGTGATGAATTCACTGGGTCACATATATTACTTTCACTTGTTATTTAAAATAGTTTTTTTTTTATCACCAATATAGTTGAATTGAGGGGAACTGAGCACATATGGTATTGAATTGAACACATTTTTTGAATGGTCTACACGATTTTGGTTGTATTTGCAATTGATAATTGTTAATAGTTTGTAATATATATTAGCGCAGTGCACATTTTATACATATATTTGGTGGGGTGTACACACCTATAGCACAGCAACTTGATAAGATTTTTTTTTGATCCATAGCGCTGATTTATATTCCATTATTATTTCACTGTTTGCTTGGAGTTTTAGCTTCAGCTATAAAAGATAAGTGAAATTACAAAGAGCATTTATACTTTTTACCCCTTCCACAGATCCATACTTTTCTTCGATCTGCTGTTTGTTTTTCTTTTATTCATAGCCATTAGATTGAGGTGTGTAGTATGGATCTGTGGAGGGAGGAGGGCGGGTTAGGTTAGGTTAGGTCAGGGGAAGGGAGCAAGAAAGGATAAGTGCAATCTGTGATCACCACAATGTATCTGTGATGATGAGCAAGTGATCTGCCTGTAAAGTAACACAGATGTTATCCTCCTGTCTGCATATTTCACCCCTGTGTTGTAGATCAGAAATGAAACATTTGAGGACATTGACAAGCAAAGGAAGTATGACCTGTTACGGTCCACACGGCATTTTGGAGGTATGGTGTGGCACTTGTGCTCTCTGAAGAACATCGATGGACTTCTCATAGACATGCTTCAAAGAGATTTGTAAGTTACTCAGAAGATCATACATCTAAAATACTATTGTATAAGAGAGTATCTCATCTATTCCTTCTTCCTATCCATAATCTGAGTAAAGGACGCTGTAAACACCCTGCGTGTTCAGCAGTGTTTATATACCGCAATTACTTCTATAGTGAACTCAATCTATAAGAGTATAGAAACGGAAGCAATGCATCACATAGACCCAAGGAGAATGCGTGTGGCTCACCACCATGTCTGCAGGCTGGACCCCAAAAATAATTAAACATAATTCTACACAGAATATATTTGACCACGTGGGGGATTCCCAAGGGGATGCCACCCAGGTCCGTGATACAGAAATAGCATGTCAAAAATAATTGTATTTAAAGTAGAGTGAAAGAAGTAATAAACTTTTTGTCAATAACGAATTCATTCATATCAAACAATTATACATTGCCCAGCAAAGATTTTCTTTAAATTGTTGCCCAAACACTTAGGGGTCTATTCACGAAGCTGCCGAAGGATCTGGCCGTAGCTTTGGCCGATCCTTCGGCTAGCTTCGGCCCCAGGACCCCTTCGGTTCAGGAGAACCGAGGGGGTGCTGTACGGGCTATTCACAATAGCCCGTACAGCTCCCGATCATTGCCGAGCGGCTCGGTCGAGCCGATCGCATATGCATCGGCTCGGCCG